CCAATCTTCATTCCACCAATTGCTCCACAATCACCCTCACCTATCATCTGGGGCTGGTACAATAGGCCAGAATTGGCCGCAGTACAAGGGACTTAGTCCCACCCCACTGGCATTAAGAAAAAAGATATGAATTCATCCATCAGTGTATTTTTCCTCTAAGTCCATAGAGTGCCAATTTAGCAAGCAACAGTTTATGATTTAGTTAAATCTAAAAATATGCCCATAACCAACAGCTTATTATCTAATGCTTTCTGGATATCTTCTATAAAGGTTTGTGTTGCTGCATCAGTAGACATCAACATGAACAGCAAGGATCACCACGTAAAGTCACAAAATTACTTTTAAAGTGTTCCTGTCTCAACACATCAACTATTAAAAACTCACTCACACTTCACCGTGTAATAATGAGTTTATCGGGATTATGGTATTAAATCACGCTAAATGTTTCAGCTCCTAAAGCCATCATTGGGTTGTACAATTTAACAAACATTTTAAATTACTGAATTTTGCACCATATATGGTCTCATACAATTTAAATACTTATTACTACAAGTACACTTGGTTGTCAACTCTCAACAGGCCACACTTACGACCACAAAAAATGAAAAATAAAAGATGATTAAAATGTAAAAGTTTTTAAAAATAAATTACAAAGATGGTAAAAAGATTAGAAAGGTTAAAAAATACTGTTAATAAATATATGGCCAACGTACAAATAGATTGACTTACGACCTGTTAGTCAGAACAGAAGTTGGTCGTAAGTCAACGACCAAGTGTATCTGGTTTCATATTCATTTAATATATTCAATCATGTACCTGAAATTGGTTTAAGTCATATATAAAATATGCATTAAAATTAGAGTGAAGATGCATTCCTTGAAGTAGAGTCATGTACAACTGGAAACGAGATGCGTAAAGTTAAGATATGCTTCCCTACAATAGTACTATCATTCTATAAATAGCTTGAAGAAAGCAGTCTTCTGGGATTTGGCGCCGTGTATATGTGGTGTTAACCGACGTTTCGGAGGAACGTCGGTTAACACCACATATACACGGTGCCAAATACCAGAAGACTGCTTTCTTCATAGTCACCGCCGTGAAAGCCTCAAATCTTATAAATAGCTTGTTTCTATTCTCTCTTCCAACTGCCCTTAATTGAAGGAAGTGGCATCCCACTAGAGGTATGCCCAAATGCCAAGAAAATTATGAATCACAGGATACCCTTTAAATTTCTGTTAAAACTGGATACCCAGTGAAAATCTCATTCAATATTCCTTGATCCACAGTGTTCCCTCATATGACATTCAATTTCAATGATCTCACGTCAACAGCTTCAGTGTTAGATTTCTTCCAATCTGACATTCCTCAGCTTAGTGTTCATATCAATCACTCACCAAAAGAAATATTAAATGGGAGTTCCACTTGACAGTACTTACCAGAAGGCAATACTAACTCCAAATTTAAAATGATTCCCTCATTAAGAAACATAAGTGATTTTATGTATTCATTTCATACAGCTATTAAAGGCAAACATGTGAAAACGTACATTTAAATTCCAAAGGATTCTGACGATGGTGTGTAACACTTGGGATTACTGGATTTTTGGACTTTGTCCAATGTCCGGTATTCTAAAGAACATCAAAGTTTTGTAAACTGGATCTGTTTCTGTCCTCAGGTGAGGGATGGGAGACATCTACTCAGGAGGGTTTAAGAGAAAGAGTTATACATCTACAGTTATACTGCCACAGCTTGTCCAGTGACTGAGGTTAGCCCTTTCTAGCTGAACCATTAGAGTAGGTGTCTCCCACCACTCACCTGAGGACGGAAACAGATCCAGTTTCTGAAGCATTACATTCTTCTGTGTTCTTTAGAATACTGGATGATGGACAAAGTCCGAGAACACGCTGAGCCTGAATGTTATACAGTTTCTTCTTTCTCAAATTCCATGTCTTTGACACTCCAAACTTCATACCTCTGCTGCGCAAACTCACAGCTCACGGTTCCCCAACCTAACATATTGTGACACGTCAAACTGTTGTTGGGCAACAGGATGTGGAACAAGTTACCAGGAAGACAGACTCTTGATAAAAGGTCGGTTGCCAAGTTACGCAACAGTGGAAAAAGGTTATGCAACAATAAGGAAAGCAGTTTTTCTCCGTGCCGTGCCGAGTCGAGATGAACCACACTGGTTGCTACATGTCAGTAAACAACTCTCGGCAGTGTTGCCAAGCAACGCCTCTGTAAAGACAGTGTTCACACAACAGTGAAGCAAGCTGCATTTTCCGCCTGTCCACGTGAGGGTTTATAAGAGAAACTAGAACAACTAAGGAGCCAGTATTCGGCAGAACAGAAGTAAGTCAGTCAGTCAGTCAGTCAGTCAAAGCAGCCACAGGAGGTAGAAAAACTGAACACATGATTAGAAGATTTTATGTGTGATAATCAGTGACAGTTTGTGATAACTGAGAAGGCATTGGGTATTGGGAGTGTGTAATTCAGTGACACTTGTATAGCTCAAGTGTTATACTGTAAATAAATGAATACTACTGAAAATAGAATGAATAGATTAGTGTGTAGGGTTTGTAAATTGTGTAAACCCGCAACAGTGTTATAATTGTAGTTACGACTTGTAGGTTGTTAATAAAACCAATTAACAATCCAAACAGCGTCCTCAGTAGCCCAAACACGCTACAATATTGTGACACGTTGCGCAATGGAGAACCCCTCCCTACCCAGCAGCAACGTGGCAACTCAGGCCACAGTGACGTGGCGGATGAGTCAGCACTCCCCTCCCCCCCTCCACACGGTAACGTAACGCGCAATGTGCGGTGACGTAAGACAGCATGAGGTAACAGCGTTGCTACGTAACAGGCACACACAGCCACTATATAAGAGAGCTGCGCTGCCTGCGAGGAGAGTTGTAATGTGGCAGTCGCCGAGTTCAGTAGTAGTCGAGCGAGTGTGTTATCAACAGTTCTCAAGGCAGCAGCCTGCGAGTTGAGTTGGAATATAGCAGCCATCGCGGAAAGAAGAACTGGACGTGTGTGTAACTGTGTAATTTGGAGTGTGTGAGACAGAGAGACTTGTATAGCTCCCGTACTGTGAATACGTGTAGCCTACTGAAGATAGAGTGAACTGATTTGCGAATAGGGTTATAAATCATGAAACCCCGCAACAGTGTAAACAGATTATTGCGATTAGGGTTATAAAGTGTGAAACCCCGCAACTGTGTGATAATTAATTGTAGCTGTTACTTATAGGTTGTTGAATAAACCAGTTAACAATCCGAACGGTGTCTTCAGTAACGAAACACATTACAATATGTTTCTCCCTGGTCCTGGCACCCTCTCCACTCACAGCATATGCTGCAAAGGTTAGCAAAAACTACATGCTATAAAATATTGTGACATGTTGCGCTATGGAGGATACCCCCTCCCTCCCCAGCGGTGACGTAACACTTTCGGAGCGTTGCTGTTGCTACAGTAATAAGCCAGTCAACACCCCGTTACTCCCCTCGGTGACGTAAGATGGGACGCCGCAGTTGCTATGTAGCCGTAAACAACATCCGGCAGCATTGCTAAGCTATCAGTAAACAGGCAACTAGGAAACAAGGAAGCAAGGCGTTTTCCCGTTGTCCGGCTGAGTGTTTTATAAGAGAACTACACTGTCTACGAAGTCAGTTCTCAAGGCAGCAACTACTGAGAACAATTACAAATTATAAAAGACAAGTCCGTCCAATGCGACTATTTCAGTTTTCTCACTTGATGATTCACTAGCCTCACGTTTCGATCCATTTGGATCATACACAGCACAGCGGACCAAGAAATCATAACGGACAATATTAAGACTCTCCCTAATCAAGTTACATAGGAGGCACAACATCAGCCACCTTGAAGAGAGACGACAGGGGTTATTGACACGAACCGTATGGTTTATGAAATTTAATTTTTAACAAAGTTTTTAAAACTTTAAAACAACTTTAAATATTTCTATAACCAGAAAGGCTGCTGTGAGTGATAGATGGAACATTGTGTACTTGGACATTACATGCGTATTTGATATGACAACTGTTGTGATAGTGGTTTCTAAAAAGTGTTTGGTGCCTCTGAAGATGATCCAAATGGATCGAAACATGTGAGGCTAGTGAATCATCAAGTGAGAAAACTGAAATAGTCACATTGGATGGACTTGTCTTTTGTGATTGTAACTGTTAGCGTGACGGACCAAAATGAAACAAATCAAATTTACTGAGGACAGTGTGAATAGATTTGCATGTAGGGTTTGTAAAGTGTGGAAACCCATAACATTGTTATAATTAGTTGTAGCCGAGACTTGTAGGTTGTTAAATAAACCAATTACCAATCTGAACAGCGTCCCCAGTAACAAAACACGTTACAATATTAAGCCCCTGTAGCAGTGTTACTGATTCAAAAACAGTGATACGTATTTCTCAGTCAAATTCAAGACTAGCTTTCTATTTTAACTCTGGAAATCAGATGAAACAACATGCCTTACCTTTATGAAAATAAGATACTGTAACGGGAGGTGACTTTGCTCCTGTTTTATAAGTTATCTTCAGCCAGTACTCCTAATTTTACTAGTGTTCACTTAAATGCACACTTTTTATACCATTATAATTCCGCTGCTAAAGGTAACATCCAGTGGCAATTTAGCTTTAATTCATTTCATGTATGTTACATATTTATCATCAAACTCTGGAGCAGTGTTTAACAGCGCTTTAGGATACACTGCACTACTGAACACATCAGAACCTTCAAATACCTGTACTACTCACTACTTTCATCCAGTATGAATCAATGTTAACCCCCAAGGAGCAAAGTTACCCCAAGTTATGGTACACACAGATGCTCTTGACATAAAATTCAATGACAAATGGCAAACACAAACGCAGACCTTCAGCAAAATAAACAATTTCTTATGCTACTCACAAAGATACCAGAAATCTAACTGCAAAGCAAATAAAAAGCAAAGTTACTGTTTACCCCACTTACGGAGATACCTCCCCTGGATGTTTCAATTTGAATGCCTGCTCTGGGTGCTAGTGAGCGAGGATTCTGTGTACCGAACACATCTTGTGGTGAGCCAATCACATAGAACTGGCCTGTAAGCATACAAGAATGTTTTGACACATCACCAGACATTTCATCTTCTACTACATCATTATTCAGACTCTGGGTTTAGTGCTCATTAATGGCAAAAAGGACACTGCTCACACAGCTAGCACTAACTGTCACTGGACTAATTGGGTGAACTGGTAACTGACACATTAAAGAGATGCTCAACTTGAATCCTAGCCAAGATAATATCATGACTAAGACTTTTGTGGCTTTGCTCAGTCCCTCCACAATATGCTGGAATAGTACCACAGAATGAATACAAATATTTGTTCAGAAAACTTGAAAGGAAGGGACCTCTGGGAAAACCTAGGTACAGAAGGCAGGATATTAACATGGATTTTAAATAAACAGTAAGGTTGGTGTGAACTGGATTCATCTGGCTCAAGATAGGGACCAGTGGTGAAGTCTTCTGAACACTTGCTTCCAAATACCACTCAATTTATTATCCTGTTATTCAATGCTATAAAGTCTTTCGAGAGCATCCTTTAATAAAAAATACTCTTTCAACCATGACAATAAACCTTCAGGTTCCATAAACTGAAAGAAATTAAGACTAGCTGTGGAGTGCTTCTCTCAAAGACTTTGCTTCATGAAATTAGTTAAAGAAGAACCACTTTGTTCATAGTGAATACAGCAACACCAAAGACATTACTGATGTTGCCAGGAAAAACTTCAAATGCTGGATAATGGTTCTCCACCAATACTGCTTGTATGAATAGCTCACCATTAATAGGGCTTGTAAGGACTGCTTGTACACCTTGCTGCACCCCAGCTGATCCGGTCGAAAAACCAGGAGACGTAGACACAATCTGTGGTAGGGGATCCACTGCATCACCTCCACCTCCCACTTGCACGACTCTGTATGTTACCGTCCCTGAAAAAAAAAAATTCATGATCAGGCCCTCTGACTAATCTATAAAATATGAAGCGCAATTTGTAAGAAAGAAGCAGAACATCTCAACCCCTCTGTGACCTTTCTTACTTATAGAAGCATCACAGTTTGACAGCAGTTACACTGCTTGACACAGGAATAGAGGATTCTTGCATTTCTTCATAACACTATGGTACCAACTGATATGTAACGTTCTAATTGCAGAAAATATCCTTTAAAATGCTCTTTAATACAGACAATGTAACAGCACTGATTTCATTTTTTTCTAATCAGCTGTGATTTGCAGATATTACTTATCTTTCTAAAGATAAGATTTTACTTATCAGACTTGGTGTTTTACTGAAATTTCACTGTATTAAGAGCCGGTTTTAATGACAATATGTAATTAACTATAAGGCTCACTGGGGACTGGAGCTACGCGGTGTGTCCAAGATCCGTTAGGACTAATTTTTTTTTATTTTGCTCTGCAATGCCATCTGTTGGCGAGTTGTGGAGTTAAGATTCCTGAAGTTTCAGCTGTGACTGTCCATGATTTCAAAGCGCAAGCATCGCTGCATCATGTGTTCTGACCTTGAATGTAACAGTACTGTTCCGAAGCTCATCGGAAAATGGCGATTGAATAGAGAGCTAAAATGAAATTTTGTTTTAAGTTAGGCAAAACAGCCGGAGAAGCGTACGAAATGATGAAAAGTGTGTACGGTAGTGATTGTTTGAGTCGCTCGAACATTTTTCAATGGTATGCTGTATTTCGTGATGGCAGGGAGGACACTGAAGACGCTCAACGTGCATCAAAGCCGAGAACAAGTCGCACTGAAGAAAATGTGAAAAAAGTGACCGAAATTCTTGCATCAGGCAGATGTGTTACTGCAAGGCTCATCGAGGAGCTTTTGGGAATACCAAAAAGTACTGTGCATCAAATTTTGACCGAGGATTTGGACAAACGGAAGGTCTGTGCGCGGGTTGTACCGCACGCACTATCAGGCGATGAAAAACATGCCAGAGTGGTACACTGCAAAGACATGTTACGATTGGCCCAAAGTGATACAAAAATTTACAAAATCGATTGTTACTGGTGACGAGACATGGTGTTTCCAATATGAGCCTCTCACAAAGCGGAAGAGTGCAGCATGGTTGAGCCCAAAGAAGCCGAAACCAAAGAAAGTGCGCATGCAAAAGAGTTGAGTAAATATCCTGCTAACCATTTTCTTCGATTCCAAAGGAATCATTCACAAGGAATTTCGGCCAGAAGGTCAAACAGTGAATTCTGATTATTATATCAGACTCCTCAATCGTTTGCAGGCGAGAATTCTTAGAATTCTACCTGAATATCGAGGGCAAGGTTCCTGGTCGCTCCTCCACGACAATGCCCCACCCCACAAATCGAAGATCGTGCGCGATTTTTTGGCCAGAAAAGAGATCACAGTCCTTGATCATCCTCCGTATTCGCCAGATTTGGCTCCAGCAGATTTCTGGTTGTTCCCAAAAGTTAAGTTGGCAATGAAAGGAGACCATTACGACACCATCCAGGACATCCAAAGGGAATGTACTGCAGTTTCAAATGTGATTCCACAGAAGGAGTACAGTGTCTGCTTTTGAAAACTTTTCAATTGATTCCAGCTATGTAGTGATTCAGAAGGAGACTACTTTGAATAAAGAGGGAAATTTTGAAAATAATTCCCGTCTTGTATTTTTAATGAACTAAGTCCTAACAGAGCCTGGACACACTGTGTATTTCTGTACAACGAAAATTTTGCTTCGGTCTTCTTTGTATCAATAACCTAACTGTATTTTAGAACAAATGGAGAAAACATAAAACCTACAGCTCATACAGAAAACCCTAAAACTGCTTCTCACCCAGCTGTCACATCTATTATTCTTTCTTTCTTTCCACAGTATTTCTACTTTCCTTGTTACTAAACCTATAGACACAGTTCTTTCAACAGAAAGCTAAACCACTTATCTTGCTGACTCATCAAAATGCATCAGTATGTAAACTGATACAAGACACAAAGGATGGGGAGGGGGGGACCAAGTGCAATGGTTTGTGTTTTTATTTACTGTTTGTTTAACAACTCTGCCTGTAACTCAGAGTACACAGCAATGAATGGTACAATGATGAGAGAATAATGAATTTGCAAAGATGAAGAACAGAATCGTTGTAGCCTAATTTCAGGTATAATACCAGCACTGCCTGCAAAGGCTAAGGAAATAACACACAAAAGAACTATCAGGACAACCTATGACTGCTGAGATTTGAACCAGGCACCTCAAAAATACAAAACAGAACCAATCTGATCAGGAAAGATCCATAGCATTAATAAATATGGCATATGAGACTTAATGCAGCAAGGCTGAAAAAACAGAACAATTTCATTCCACATGTAAAAAAGAATTAAAAGAGTAAATGCACCAATATAAACTGAAATCCCAACAACAATAAACACACAAAGTTACATTTGTAATCCCAACAACAATAACGCACACATAAAAATTTATATTTATAATTCCACACAGCTAGAAAGCACAGAACAATCACATTTAACCTTTATCAGCCGGGCCATTTAAATTCCGGTAATGGCCGCAGGCCGGAGTTAATTTAAATGCCCGCCATTGTAGAGTAATAAAAATTGTAATCATATTACTCAAAATGCTGTGATTTCTACAATTTTTGTGATAAACAAACGAAATAAACGCTACTTTTATCTAGAAAGAATATAGAATCAGATATTGTAATTTACAGATTTTAGAATCCGTAAAAAGTGTTACAATGATTCCAAAAAAAATTTCCCCCAATTTTGAGCGTCTGTCCACAAAAATGCATAAAGCTTCTGCACAAAACGTTTCTGCAGTATAAATACATGCTGCTGACACACTGTCTATATTTTATCTGGCAAGAGGAGAGGAAGTTTATGTTTTCATTGCACATTCTCCAGTCACATCGGCTTACTGTATACACGAGTTCTTATCCTACTTTGTCCTTATGAAACTCTGTCTGTTTATATGTCAGACTAAACACACAGAGGTCCTGTTCTTGGAATATCTCCTCAATGCCCCTTGCGTCCTCGTCCCTTCAGAATCGACTGTACCGAATTCTGAATAGTGTGATTTACGAGCAGCCTCTCAATTTCGGCTTCTTCCATGCGAAATGGGGCCATGGTGCATAGTTGAAAATGCAATGTTTTATAAGCGTTACGAATAGAGGAGACCACTCGCCATCACTGGCCTACTTCCTGCTAATATGAGACTGCTGTTGCGTGTGTGAGCTTCACGTGGAAAACAGAGTTACATACGGACAAAGTGCATGAATTGCAACGTCGGACTCTGCATTCAGTTACATGCAACATTCAGTTAGATGATGCAGGAGGGAAGACAGTCTACTTATAAAGCTGGTGTCCAAAAATAATGTATGTAGAACAAGAATTTCTATCTTAAAATTATATTTTAAAACACTGTGCGCACGCATGGACTGAGAGTCACCATACGGTGTCGTTCAGCCACTCGGCTGTGTCTTTCGGCTCATAAAGGTTAATTTCATGTGTAAAACCATCACTCATGGTACAAAACAAACCAGCACGAAGGGAACCATCATTCATGCCTACCGGCTGATATCTTCTACCAGGCAATTCCTGATGCTTTTAAAGGCCACTAGAACTAAAACGTGGGGCACATATTCCATGCTATAAAACCAGAGCCTAAAAGCGCCTCCATTTATAATGGATGCTATAAGAATCTGAACTTCAGAGCAAAATAAATCTCTTTCACATGGCCCACTACCAGAACAGAACTCCTGAAAAGTGAACTAACCGCCCTCTCCAGAACGAAACTGGTACTGCACATCATCATCGCCAGCATCCAGCAATCCCTGTGTGTGCGCCAGTTCCGCCACTGCTGCTTGATCCTCGCCTGAACCCAAGGACCCATCTTCCTCCACAATGGTCAGACTTTGCGCTGTGATGATCTCCTTGTCAGTGCCCAGGCAGGACCCGTCACTTGCCTCCCCGTCTTTGTCCTGGCTGGAACACAGCTTTCCGTCAGTATCGATGTGGTACGCAACTCTACAACAATAACCAAGTGAACTGTACTTCCACCAGTACCTCAGTATAAATTTATATCACCATCAAATACAGCTCTCCCCAGAGATCTGAACTCATACCAACTGCCTCACTGTTTTATAACTATGCGCTTCCTTTTCACATAAGGGTTAAGCATATGGTAAAACAGTCAGAAAAAGGTGAACTCAACTGGAATACTGAATCAGATCAGTTACCTCCAAATGTACATTACTTCAACCTTGTAGACGATTTTAGTAGACTAATTCTAATGTTTATAATTATGGCACTCAGTAGATTTAAATCCATTCATATACAAAGGCGTGCTCAGTCGGAATTACGATGGCCTATGAGCAGGATGGCCGGGGTTTGATTCCCAACAGGAGCAGATTTTTCTCTTCTCCACAGTGTCCAGACTGGCTCTGGGGCCCTCCTATCCAGTGGTTAACTGTGGCTCTTCTCCAGAGGGTAAAGCAGCCAAGGGGTGAAGCAGACCAGTCACGTCCATCCAGTTCCAAGGTAAACAATGATGGAGCTATACCTCCAATCCCCAATACACTTTCCTGGCATGGTGCTTAAATAAGTAGGCACAGGGACAACCTTTCGTCACCTTTGCATGTGTTTAATGAAGTACCACATTATGTAGCAGTATATTTCCACCCACTCTTAACTCTAGGATTAAATGGAGGTGAGTGGACAGCTCCATGTCCCAGCTGCTTTATCACCATTAACCACTGGACAGGAGGCAATGTGAGCTCCTAAACAATTCAGAATGCAGTGGAGAGGAGAAAAATCTCTTGCCGCTGGTGGGAATCAAATCCTAATTCTTCACTTGTTCATCCTGTAGCCTTGCTGCTATACAAAATGAGCTACTGCAGAGCCTCTCAAGATGGATATACATCTACAAATTGATGAATATAGGTTAGGACACAGTCTTGTGTTATTTCTGGCAACTACCAAAGAATTAATTTCAGACTGACAGCAACCTTGGTCAGTACAAGGAACTTAGAATTCTAATCAAGAATTCTTTTATGCAAAGCAATACAAAATAAAATATGCTAATTCAAAAGAACTTAATTTCTATCCACCTAATGAACTAGTGCAACAGTATTTAATTATAAGAACACATGTTTCTTTTTCAATTCATTCAAACAGCAACAAAACAATGAACACCTTATAGTGAATTCTAAAAAACAATGATTAAATTGAAAGAATCAAGTTATATTAGAACTGCCATGCACTTATGCTTTTACTTCAGTTTCTACATTGCTGCTGAATGGCCATTTATGTGAGAAAATGCACATGGAAAACATTTTCCTTTTGCAACAGTTTTGGCACAAGCCTTTCAATAAATTAAATCTGCTATGCTTATTTCAATACAGACTGTCATCATCTTCAATCAAGACAAATTTATCTCAACACTACAAGTATGTTCTGATTATCATCTGGGAATGAGGATTTTAAATTTCTCATCATTACAGGGGTACAGATCATATTTTAATTGTCAGAGAATATGGGATTTTAAATCTCCCACATCTGTCTGCAAGTAATATCTGAACTCTGAGGTAATGGTATTAGTATTAAAAAATGAAATATTTGTCCAGCTGGACCCTGCACTTGCACTGAATAAATTATGCAGCAGAGAGCAAATAAGGTTTAATGTAACAGACCTCTACTGCAGATGGTGAAAAACTAAAAGACAGCCTGACTCCAGTCAAGTGCTGGACTACTGGTAATTCATAATTTACTCTTGCAGGACCAATTCTAAACAAACTCATGTCTCTACTGGTGCTTCCATTAGTCAATCACAAATACATTCCCTTCCAGTTCATTCTACATTTTTTGTGTTACAATGCTGAATGTATTCACGTTATGGACCCTATGAACATTCAAACTTTTTCGCCTGTGCAAAGAAATGTAGTAAACCTCTCTTCCATGCAAAAATCAAGAGAATGAGAAAAATAATAACACCTAAAATATTAAAAAAAATCAAAGCCTGCAGGTCATGTTAGTGCTTGAAAATGTAACAGCGAACTTCACACATTGATCAGCACCATACATCTCAGAGATGAAACCCACAGAATACTGAAGACATCAAATTAAAGTCAATAAAGTCTAGAAAGATATCTCAAATCTATATCAACATTTATTCATCACTTCCCCACAACCTGAATGCAAACCCAAGAATGTCAGTAAGCCCCGAATATTAATGACCTCAACATCTGAAACAGACTTTTTCATCAAACAAAATTAAACAAGACTAAGTAATATCACATTCCATTTTAAAACTGTAAAACAGTTCTTTGTTGTTGTTGTTGTTGTTGTTGGTTATGGGCATGACTTTTGTATCTAATATCAACACATATATATGACGTGTCATGACTAAAATCAAATGGATGCAACAGTAATACAGCATAAAAAAAAAGTGAAAGTGGAGAAGAATGTAACTCATTCAACTTCATGACAGAAGGCAAAGAAATTACCAAGTACATATAAGTCAGTGAGAACACAATTTACACAATAAATATGGAACTCAATATACAGAATTTCCATAAAATATTGTCCCATGTTAGGTATGTAACGCGATAAACAATTTCACGCCGTCTTGGATATAGCAAATTTAATGCACTCGCTCTTAAAATTACACAATTCACAATTTCCCAATTACTGTCATCTGCACTATCACAAATACTTCTCCTGTAATCATTTCCATTCACTCGATACAACTCAACTCGGCACATGCTAGACTGCAACTGGATGGTTACTCTCTCTCTAGTAACTGACTCAATACCCACTACTCACTACTCTAGTAGTGACAACACAGAGAACAGTTATGCGATAGCTACCACTGTTGCGTAACATCGTGTTTACAGGCGTTGCTGGGGAACGTTGCCAAGAGTTGTTTATTGCTGTCTAGTAACCGCAGTGTCCCCTGTTATGTCACTGTGGGAAGTGCTGTTACGTCACCGCGGGAGGCGATGGAGTGTTTACCGAGCATTGCGTAATAATGGAAGGGGTAGGGGTCTGTGATGTAACTCACAAGGCCGCTCACGTGACCCCTACTTCCCGTTGTGCCATCCATGTCACACTGCTCCCCTATAAAGGTTGTTCATCCCGAACAGCCTAACGGTACATCCCCGTTCCTTTTCTTCTAAGGCTGTGCTTGCTGCGTCTCCTGTTGTTTTGGCTACTCCTCTTGCAGCGACTATTCTCTGGCCATTACATCCTACGCTCCCTTCTTAGGACATGCTGATATTGTCACGTCACAATGCATTTAAAAAATATATATTTTGTAACCATGACACATAACTGAATGAAACAAAACTTAAAATGACAACACACAGGCAGGTACTGAGATCACAAAAATACTTGAGCATTTCTGGGGATGAAGTTTCAATAGCTATCATTATCCTGTGTTTTAATGTTTCAACACTGTCTACTTGTACAACAGCTCCATAAATGACACTTTTTATGTACTCCCCAAAAAGAAATCCACGGGATTTAAATCAACTACCAAGGAGCTTATGAAACAGCACTGCCTCATCCCAGCCACCAACCTGGGAACTTCTCATTTACAACACAACATTTGTGAAAGGCAGCAGGAAGCATCTTGTCAGCCACAGTTACAATTCCTCTTTTTCCAGTTCAGGACAAATACAGTTTTTGAGCACATCAAGACAAATGGTTCCCATTAAAACAGCCTCAGAAAATGAGAAGTGTGTGGGATGCAAGAAAATGCTGAAAAATTCTATCTTTTGAGATATAACATCATGCAGTCCAGTGAAACTAAATCAATGTTTTGGAGGAATTATGACCTCCATCTTCAGGGTTGAAAAGTATGGCAAGCAAGAAATCAGCATGAAGCAGGCAGCACTTGCTTTCATCAGTCTATGCAGCATTATATCCCAAAAGACAGAACTCTTCACAACTGCTGTAAGAACCTCAAATCCTACAGAGACAGGCTGCTGTCACTGTGGCCTGCATTAAAAGATGTGCACATGGGAATTTTACTAACGCAATTCTGTGTGCCATCAATTCAGGTTTCATTTCAATGAATTATATGCCATGGTTATGAAAATGCAACACTCTGAAACACTGACTGTACTTTGTGGGCAGTCTGTATAATGTGCATAACTTCTCACTCACAGAGGCAGTTATCCCTGGGCTTAATCAATTAAGCACCATACCATGATGACATATGGGTGAGTGAAGGCACAATTCTACCAGTCTTGACCTCAACACTAAATGGAAGTAAGTGGTCACCCTGTTGCTTTACACCCAAGGAAACATCCCCCAGTACCCAATGTACAGGTGGGTCCCTCCTCCAAGCCTACTTGGATAATGTAAAAAAAAAAAAAAAAACTCCTGCTCCTCCTGGGAATTGAACTTTAATTCCTCGTTCATCCAGCCAACAGCCTAGATGTGACACTGACAGAGCAACCCTGGCTCTGTTTACATTTACATTTATTTTCACCTCATGGATCCAATCACCTCCCTGTAGGGCTGGATATAAAACACGTCACACATTACAAATTCATGACTACACATCATACGTCCTTGGTCCAATAAAATATATAAACAGGCCTCATCCAGACAGCACAAGTTGTCAAGACAACACACACAGACTGTGGAAAAACCACTGTCACATTCGACCCTGAACAAAATCCCTCATATTTCCAACCATTACAACTTTATGCTGCGCAATTGCACACCCTGATATTCCACACACATTGGTCAGCCATATCATCAATACAGTTTCATTGTAACATATTCAAATTTATAACACAGACATCATACATACTGCCACACTGTTGAGCAAGACTCAACAATGTATAATACAAGCACACAGACCATTTACTAACGCTCAACATTTGAGCCTCTTGCATGCTCGACAAATTCGTCAACAAAGTAAATTGAGTTACTTTACAAGTACAGCAATACCTCGCATAGTCCGGCTTCGATCGGTCCAGATTCACTACAGTCCAGTTTGAAAATTTCAAAACAAA